TCCCCCTGTCCACCACCCACGTTCACAGACCCTTGATCCCCAGATTACGGTATTACCAACCACAAACCACAGCGGAGTGGAAATAAAAATGGCAAAGAAAGGAAAGCCAAAGAAAAAAAAAAGCACAAAAAGAAAACCCGAGTCACCGATTACCCAAAATGGTGATCCGTCGCGGGGTTCACACACACACACACAACCTCCCCCCCCCCCCCCCAATTCCCGGTCACAACTCACTATTTTTTTTAAAAAAAAATTCCTTTCTTTCTTCTTTCCCAAAAACATACCCACCATACTGTACTAGTAGACTACCGTACCCATACAGTAACCTGCCTGACTTGACTTGACTTGCCTTGCCTTGCCTTGCCTTGCTTTTCGCTCCTTTCTTTCTTTCTTTCTTTCTTTCTTTCCCTCCCACACGTGAATTACTGGTTAGGGTACAAGTACTGTACTGTACCGGTACTGTAGAATACCCTACGAGTACTCTACGGGTACTGCACGAGTGAAGGAAAAAGTGGTCGGCCGGGTCGACCGACCGACCGACCGACCAACCAGGTGTATCGTACTGTGCTGTGCTGTGCTGTACTCGTGCTCTAGACTGCTCGTATGGACCGCTATAACTCACCTCAAGTTACTTGCACAGTGCAGCGCAGTACAAGTACCATGAGGGAGGTACGGTACTCTAGTAGTGAGGGAGGCAGGCAGGTATTATACAAGTAGGGAGGAGGTAGGAGGTATTTAGGTAGGTAGGAGTAGGTAGGGGGGGAGAAGAAGGTATTGTATTGTACCGCGCTGTACTGTACGAGCACTGTACCGTACCGTACTTGTACCTAACGTACCATACAAGTACCCCGAGTTGAGCTAAGCATGGATAGCCGGTACTGCATGCGGGCACGTCTGCAAGTAGGGGTCTTGTTCCGGGGGTTCTGTCCATTTGGGTTGCTCGGTTAAGCTTGGCGCTGCCCAGCAGTGCTGCTGCTGCTGCGCTGGTGCTGTGCTTTGTACGATGGGGGAGAGAGAGTATGGTATAGAGTGCCGGTATGGGGAGGGGGGGGGGGGGAATGTGATGGATCCCGTGCACAGCCCATGGATTGGGAGGTCCTCTCGCCGCCGGTACCGCTGCTCTACGTAACTTGACAATATTCCACCCATCCAAGAATGAGGACGCGAGCAACGATAAATGAACTGGTAAATTTTTTTGAATTTGTCTGTCTGTTCCCCTTTCCTCCTCTCCTCTGCCGCTCCCCTCCGTCTGCTACGGTACACGACTCAACGATAATGAGGATCATGATGCTAATGACGGTGAAGATAAAAAAGGGAGGGGGTGGTGCCGATTGGGGAACGAACGGCCCTCGCTTCGGTTAAAAGAAAAAAAGAAGGCAGGAGGAGGGAGGAAGGGGGGAGGAAGAATAGAACAGGGGGAAAAACCAAATACTTCCCATTCCGCCAACGCTGGTAGTGATCGAAATGAAGGCTACGCTACCGGTAATAAAGGTGTAGAATGGAAGCGAAAGCGAGGAAAAAGTAAGTACCAAGGAGGAAAATGACAGATGGAATAAGCCCCATTTGGCCCTAGAATCGAAACCCAGTTCAAGACAAAAATTTCAAAAGTGGGGGGGGGGGGGACAATAATAAAGAAACTATCAAGATAATAATAATAGTAAAAGGGGAAGGTAAAAGAAAAAGAGTGAAACGGTTTCAACCAAATGCGAACATGGTAATATGAATACGAAGAGAAGAGAAGAATAGACAAAAAAGAACAGTAAGAGAAGCAAAAAGAGAGGGTAAAGATATAAATGAAGAAATGAAGAGAACCGCCCGCTGCTCCAGAAAATTTAAAATACACCAACTCCATCTACCCGTTTTCTAAGTACCGAAATCATCCATACCAATACGCAGGTAGAAGCAAGCACGCATCGCTGATAACCAACCACAGCTGCAACAGTCCATTCATCCATCCAGCTCCTCCCACCCTTAATCAAAACCCCACCACCACCCCACACACTCCCACACACCATCCCATAATAAGCACCCAATCGAAATCAGTCAAATCCACCACCACATCCGCAGCGACCACATCACAAACGGCCACGACCACCTCCACACATAGTGCTACGAGCAACCTGGCCCCGAACTCCATGCCTCTGGCGCACATCCGGGTTGTTCCTCGCAACATGGGAAATGGACCACTATTAGGGCGTCGGCGCATTCACCGGCTTCCAGCCCGGGAAGAACAGCTGAGAACACCAGTACATGCTGTCTTCGTATATCTCTTTTTCGCGTAGCATTTTCAAGCCACTCTCTATATTCGCCCGTGCACTGGTCAGTCATTCTGCTTTGGAACAAAGTGGGGCGGGAGAGGGGTAACGAGCTAGGGTCCTATGCGGCAGATACGGTGTAATATAAAATTTATATATGACGAGATATGACATGCCTTGACGCTTAGTCGCTTGGATTACATCCTTCATGTAGCGAACCTCCTCCTCGTTGGACTTGGCTAGGACTATTGTTTCGCCTGACTCCCAGTCGATCGAGAATGGTGCGTAGCCTTTGCTTACGTGGTGGAAATGTGCCAACAAGATGTTTGCTCCTTGGAAAACGGCGTCGATTAAGTGGTAATTTGAGAAACGATTCTGAAGACTGTACCGCATGGCGAACCACCTGTCATGTGCGATTGTCAACTCCATGTTGTGCAGGAGTATGAAAATCGTCAAGTAAATCTCCAGGAAATCCTCCGGCTTGTTATTAAGCACCTTTCGCTGCAATTCCTGCAATAACTTTTTGCGCAGCGGGATGAGCAGCTGGTGGATGGTAATATTATCGATCTGGAAGTCCATTATTGGCGTCACTGGGATCTTGCCGTAATAAGGACTTCCCTCCTCCATATTAGTTGTCATTCCAAAAGTCTCGTTTCCAGTTATCGACCACGGCGTTTCAATTATACGACTGCCAACCCATAACTTCAGAGCATTGCGGAGCAGTGATGACTATCTTTGGTCAGCTTTTGGACAGATATGTCGACACAGGGCGGGCATACGCCTTTAGCGCTACTCATCCGAAGCGCCATAGAGAAAGATTCCCACAGTATCACGTTCGAACTGACATGTTCCTGAATATACCTGAAAATATTGTCCTCTACATATCGGTTGATAGTCCCCTGAGCACGGTCGATATCTGATATCGCATAGGGCGGACAGGCCAATGCTGCCACCTCACCATTCTGATCGATCCATGTATAATTGTCCCTATCATCCGGCAGAGGTTTATATTGTTTCGCCATCAGATTTAGCGTAAGTCCCATCCCTTGAGTAACCGTGAATTCCTTCGCCGGCGAAGCCCATACAGTCCTATCATTCGGCGAGGCCTTCAACCATCGCCTGCGAGTCCACAGAAACTCTTCAGTCGGACCTGTGATGCAGCATTATGTTAGCGCATATGTATATATCAGATGAAGCAGTGACGTAGTAGGTAGGGTAGGGTGGGTAGAAATGCGGGCTAAGGTGAGGCAAAGTTTAAGAGAGGGCTTGGACAAGAAGTTACCTCGTCGGAACAGTTCCGATTCTGTCATGCGGGCACGGAAGCATGGGATGTTGGGTATCTTGGAGAAGATTGATTCACAATACTTGCAGCAAGCCTCCGACACTCTGATGCACTGAAACCATGCACGTTAGTTTCTTCTTCTCCTTTTCTTCTCCTTTTCTCCCTCCTCCTTCACATCTCCCTTCGTCCCCTCATCCCGAGACGGAACCGACTGAGGGGAGGGGGGGTCAAAGATAGCAACACGAATTGAAGGGGGTTAGTACCCTTTTTTTGTTTTTCCAACATGGTAAGCAAGCACCCGTTATTCTAGTCATGTGCGTTTCCTTCTTCAGCTCTGGCGTAAACCGCTTCCGTTGCCTTTTCTTCTTGCAGGAGTTGTTGTTTCGCGGTTCACCATCACTGCTCTCCGAGGAGCTCTATTTCAATCAGAAAAAAAGATATTGTTAGGGACGCGATCTTGGGGTCTTCTTCTGACTTCTTCTTCTTCATGGTGTTTTGGTTGGAATGACACGATTGGGAGGGTAGGATTGGGGAAGGCGAAGGGAGAAGGGGCGGGTATGTGAATAGGTACGTAGAAGCAGCAATACAACACGGAAAGGATAGGGGGATATAATACATTTTTCCTCTGGCTCTGTTGGGGGTCGGATGATTCCTCATGGTCACCAGCAGGGGATGAACTCGGAGTGTGGAATCCAGCCGAGGCATCCAGGGTACTAGCTGAGGAGCAAGAGGAAGCGGCAGAAGTGGGCTGCCACGCTCCCGGTTGGTCCCAAGGCGCGGATTGATCGAACATAGAAAAGGTAGTATCCAACAACTGCTGGTAAATATCAATGTTGTTCTCGACATTCGTCATGCAATGATCGAGCCTGGCAAGATTTGACGGGTCCATGTTGGCGAAACCGTCGTATTCGCAAGGGAAATGTCGCCCATCCGGATAGTTCACTTGCCTCGAAGCCAACAAATCGCCGGGGAGGCCAAAGTCGATGGAAGACAAGTATAGATCCGGCGTGAAGATGCTGTTCCTGAAAGCAGGATATTGCTCCGACTTAAGGTTAGGAACTCCGCTTGCGCTAAACAGGTCTCCAAGTCCCTGGTTGTCGTCACTGGGGAGATCGTGCGGGGCGGGCCCTGAGTGCGGGTCGAACGACCACGGCGTAAACAGCATGTCATTGTTACATGTCTTTGACGAGTTCAGCATGTCGGGTTCGTGAAAGGGAAGGGGAAGGGAGTTCGGAAAGGGAAGGGGAAGGAGGAGGAAGTGGAAGGGGGGGGGGGGTGTCTAGAGTAGAATTAGAAAGCGAAAAAGCGAAGGGAGAGGTAGAGGGAGGCAGAGTTAGACTATGGCAATAAATGCGGAGAGTAAGGGATCAGAGTAAAATTGGAGGTGAAAGGTGAGGCCACTACGGTATGATACCCAGACACACGGACACCCGCTGCAACCAGAACAGGCCACCACCTCCAGACAACCTTTACACTTCCGCACAGCAAAACCTCAGACACAACTTCCTCGCCTTCGTCTTCCCCTCCTTTTTCAAGAATAAGACGAAAGGAAAGGATTCCTTATCGTCTGATCTGGGGAAATTGGAAAAGAGTCTTGCTCGATGATTGATTTGATTCGATTCGATGGATGAAGGGTGAGGGAGAAGGGGGTGGGGAGGGAGGGAGGGAGGGAGGGAGGGAGAGAGAGGGGGGAGAAAGGAGAGAGACGGTATGGTGTCTACCGGTACGGTACTGTACTGTACTCGTAGCAGTGCCGTAGCACACCACCACTCAACGGCAACGAGTTCCACAAAAACAACAAAAGCGAACCCAAACCTACGAGTATGATAGACCAAGATTCAATTTTCTGACCCACCAGTGCAGGCAACACCTATGATACCACCACCATCGCCATCCATCCCCACTGCCCCGGGATACACAAGAACACGGACGTAGGCACAGATAAACGAACACAATCTATGATATGATACCGTACCACTGCAATCAATCACCCAAACCCACTTTTAACCAAACCGGAAACACACCCCTAGCAGCACCACCACCCGAATACCCAGTCCAGCCCAACGGAAGATCGGAGCAAGCAACCTAACCGCAGCCGCAGCCCCACAGGACTAGAGAGAATGATAATAATACGAGTGATCATCATGCCGCCGATAACGATAATATCAAAAGGTCGACCCCGTCCGTCCCATGAACACCATCACCACCATCACCACCACCTGCCACCACCACCATCGCCCATCATGTGGATACCGGTAAACCGTACTGTAAATCATCTTACTCGAGCATGATACAACCAATACCGCCGGTGATAAATACAGTGGAATAGAATAAGAGAAGCATAAAAACGCCCGGTAGGGGGTAGTGATAATCCGGGAGGGATTCCCCGCTCGACTTATGATACCAAGCTTTCCATGCCGTGATCATACCCGTACCCTACACGCCCCCAGCCATCAGACCGCGCGCAAAAATAAATCTTTGCTTGCATCGAACAACCGTACAGGACACACAGTAGCACGGCGTCGGACCCAGCGCACGATCGACGATTCTCCCATCCAGCACGGTAGATCCTTTCGAAAAGACCCTGACCACAGGTACCGGTATTCCCCCTCCTCCCTCCCTTCCGCCCTTTTTACCGTGCCCTCCCCCCTCGATGCGGGTGAAGCCCGGGTCAGGAAGTAAATTGCTGAGGTGGATTCACAAGCAAGAACACCGGTATATACATTCCTACTCCGCCCCCGCACAGGGAAGAAATTACCCCAACCAACCCTTCCCCATCTGCTACCATGCTGCACTTGCCGTATGATATTACCTCCTTCCTTCCTTCCTCCCCCGCCTCTATCTGCCCAGCAGGGAGCGTTGACCCGGGACCACAGGCGATCACATAGCGCTGGTTGATCGCCAGAAGTAGCTGTCACCGTAGGTGTGGGTGTGGACAGAGGGTGGAGCGTCAGAGCCTTATGGCGACCGCTCGTACCATATCGTCCTGGGGGTACAGTACCGTGCCGCACTCGCATAGCATCGTGGGTCAACCTGGACAATGGTATCAAAGAAGGGCTACCGTACGATACAAAAGAAGGCGTAGGAGTATCACAATAGTTCAACTACAGTACCGGTACCGACAGTATACAAAAAGGCCCAACTTAGGTTGAGTGTTCCAGAGGAAAGTGAGGAGAAAATAAAACGCTGAGCTATCATACCGAGTATTTGACTTGGGACTTCCACCCCACCACCCTCTTCCTGCTCCTCCCCTCCCGCTCCTCCTTCACCCCGTCGCTCCCTCACTCCTTTTCCACGAGTCCGTTAGTCCATCTACCCCATTCTTTGCCACTCTTTTCCTCCTCGTCCCCCTCACGGCACCACATTCTAGGGCATGATGCTCCACAGCATGACCTTCCACGGTATTCTCGCTCACCTCCCCCTTCGCTCTCAATTTCGAAATCCGATTCAAAACCCAGACCCGTCCACACCTGTTCCTCCGCCGGCCATCGCCGCTGTCTCCCTTCCGCCGCATTCCAGCGATCGGGGCACTCCAAACTCACCATATCACATACGGTAACTTATCGGTGCCATCGCTCGTTGCCCCGCCGCACACACCCCCACCACCGCCACCGCAACTGGTCGCTCAATCCGCTACCGCAGTAACCCACCAACCCGAGCACCCTATCATACCAACATCCCCCCCACCCTTCTGCAAATGCAAAACCACCTCATTCGTTTCGTCTCCAGGGTGTGGCAATCTTGTGTCACCGCTCTTGAACCAGAACGTGAGGTTGGGCATGATACGGGTACGGGTACCGGTACTCGCACAGCACCGTACGAGTACTGTACAGTACCGTATCGCAGGGGTATCCACGATACGCTAGCTTAGTTCCATAGGGCTAGGGCACGGCTCTCTTGGCACTCCAGATTCGGCGATTCTTATCGAGATCCATCCGTTTCGGTCTGTCTCTCTCTCTGTCCGCCTTGCCCTGTCTTGTGTTGTCATCCACGAGTATGATAACTCGCTGCACTATGCCTCTAGCAGGGATGAATGGATGGGGGCAAACGAGCCAAAACATAGTGAGTGATCCCCTGTGCAAAAATCGATAATTTGTCCCGAAACTCGATTGTGCCATCTTATTTTTATTTTCCATCTCATTCTCGCTTCCCGACCTAATTTTGTTTACGGTGTATCACACCAACTCCTGCCCGATAGTACTCGTATACGGTACTGTACTCTGGTTCTCGTTTTACTTTTATTCCCATCCCCTTATCCCTTCCCTCCCAGGGGCGCACGAGTACGAGTACAATAGGGCAAGGGATCCTCGACAGCCAAGTACTAGTACAACAGCGTCTGACAACAACACCTCGGCAGATCCAAAACGGGATGAGCGGTGACATCTTACATTTCTAACTTTCTTTCGGCTAATCCATGGTTCGCGCCGTACTCGGAGTACAAGTGCTTGTGTCCACATGGCTGGAGCGGGTCAGGGCGAGTCAGTCAGTCAGTCAGTCAGTCAGTCAGGATGGCAGAACCTCTTTCCCCAAAGTGCCGTGTATCAGAACGGCAACACTCTTTGAACTGGGGGGGGAAAAAGAGGGATGAGGGTCCGGATTCCAACCCCTTTCAGCCTCCCCGATTTCCTAAACTACCGGTGACCGATTGATCTGTCATGTCATGTCCTGTCAACTCGGTCGCTCGCTCGCTCACCCATCAATTTGTTCTCGCAGTGATATATCGTCGCCTTTTTCTGGAGTATGCTATTAAAGCGTACCCATCCAAGTGCCGTCAATCATTAGGCTTCTGCCCCCCCCCCCCCACTTCCCTCCTTCCGGATGTTGTCTTTGCTCTTCCTTTCCCCTTCCCCCGCCTGCCAGATCTTCCTGCAGGGAACGTTTACCCGCTCGCATCTACTGCCCCGAAATCGCACCCACCCCCTCGTGGTTACGCCAGTCATGCTACTTCGTCTCAAGGCCTCACGAGAACCTCTAGAAATCCGTGGCAACCTCTCCGAATTTCCTCAATAATAGGGGGAGCCTTAAATACGCCAACAGATCATTCGGAGAAAAAGAAGAAGAGTTTTTTTATTAAGCAACACAAGTCTCTGCGGCCCATTCACACGTACACATCGCCGCTTCTTCACATCCCATGAACCCCCCTTGTTGATCGACATCGCACCGGCCCAGGAACCTCGACGCTCAGCACCTTGTATCCCATCTTCCCCAACTCTGAACCCAACCCTTCTAACACTGCTTTTTGGCAAGGGAAAAAGAACACACAACGGAAAAAAGAAAGAAAAAATCGAAATCTAATGAGCAACAAAGACAATGACACGGCAAACATCGCAGAGCGGACAATAGAAAGGAAAAAAAAAAAGGATAAGGAAGGAAAAGGAAGCTTCAGTCCCGCGATTACCCTATCAAAAACGCACCAGGCTAGAAAAGGAAGAGAAGAAAAAAAATAAAGCGCCCAACAATGTGTGGTTTCAACGGAGTTTAAACATCAACGCCGAGTCTATATCGTCTAACCTCTTCTCCCAGGAAAAAAGAAAAGCAGAAAGAAATACTCTCCTAACCGTGGCCGCTTGAACGGCGCTGAGTTGTCACGTGGTCTCGATCCATAATTGGTACAATAGGCCATTGCTCTTCTGAGACGTCATCACTTGCGTACGCCGCGTCCCACGCCGAGCGCAACACCTCCGGAGTCTCCCACGCCAATTCCTCGTTCCGCAACCACAATCTCAGCAGATGCCGCTTCTGGTTCATCGGACCGCCGTCGACAAACCCCTGCCTTGCGTGCACGATACTCATATTATTCCAGAACAGAATATCACCCAGCTGACCATCATCTAATGTCAACGCATGTTTGTCCGCGGTGAAGTGGAGGGCGTCTAGTGCATCTGCTTGCGCTTCTGTCATGTCTGGGATCCCCTTTGTGCGAGGCGAGACTTCGGAACCTGTCAGAATGCGGCGCGAAAATGCAAAGACCATCTTCCCGCCCTGGTTGAACAACAACGGGCGTTTGTAGTAGGGTTCACCGGATCTTCCGAATCTAAATCAAAATTTTGTTTCGTAAGTGACTTGCTCCGAGTGATTATTGGTGATGGCAACCAACGTATCAAAGATCCACTCAGGAGATCGGAGAGTGTCGATATGATCGGGTCTTGTTTCCGCCAACTCGTTATAGATTGCTCCGGTCGACGCCAGTTTACTCCTCCCACCTTTATACGCCTGCCCTAGAGTATACAATGCAAGTATATCGCCAATGTCCGTGTGGTAGGGCTGCAGCTTGTTAGTATGGTTCGCTGTGGTCAGGATGAAAAGAAAAAGGAAAAAAAGCAGCGAGAGAGGCTGGGAGGGTTACATACTTGCTGGACATTGGAGTAGGGGGCTTGACGGACATTATCGGGGGCGACACTCGAGGTGAGATCTATTAGATGTACTGTTTGTTGGTCCGTCAGCCAAAAAAGAACTCATCTACATTTGCCTATCGGGTACGGGGCCCGTTCGGGCTTAATTCACTGGGCGGAGAAGGAGCCCCCACATAGCATATTATTGTGCTCGTCCTGTCTGCCTCGCCTCTCTGCAACCCAGCAGGAAATCCCAACATATATCAGGACGTTTTCTTCGCTTGAGTACCTCTTAGGGTTCAGGCCGCGAAGCACAAAGAAACCCCTTCCGTTGTACAATGAGGCGCCTAAACCAATGAGCCGGGGCCCAAGAGTGGGGAGGCGGAAGGTTTGGCGGGTGATGAGCGAGATTGGGAGCTTCGACTCTGCGATTTCCGGGTAAGTATATTGATGTGCAGGATTGGGTGGGCACCAAAGCGAAATCGAGATATGCAGGAGGGTGGGGAAAACGGGGTAGCAAGGAATCATTATATGATTTACGGGGAATATGTATAGTTGCGCATGTATATATATATATATCTTATATGTGTTGAGACCAAAGTAATAGAATTGGTGAAAAGAGGACTCTTCTCAATATGATGGCTGCGCACTCACCCTTAAAATCTCGTAACCCCCTCTCAATCTCCAGAATCTCTTCCCCCGTCAACGGGATCGTGTACTCCTCTTTCCTTAGTTCACTACCAGTCCAAGTTAGTGGCGAGTCAACCCGAGCGGGAAATCCCGCAGGTAGGACCCTTGTAAGACTACAATCCTGCAAACGCCGCTGTGCGCGATTGATGAATGATGAATAACTAGGTATCCATTCGATGGGAGAGCCGGACGGAGACTCGAAGGGCCTGAGGTTGGCGGGGGTTTCGCTGGTTGAGGGATTGTCCCCGATTTTCTTGGAGATGGCGCCTCGTTCGTCCAGGGTCTCAGAGGGGAAGGCCTTGTATGCAGGGACGATGCTTGGTGGGTGGTCGCCACTGCTATATCCGCTATGCATCACCATGGCCATTGATATATAGGAATCGAAAGGTGTGTATCCTATCTGGGAATTTCTTTGCTTTCCCCGAGTATTGCCTAAACGTTGTGCACGCGATATCCTGTGCTTTCCCTCTCACCCCTCTCTAAACCTGGGTAGCGGTGAGGAAGTATCCGAAGAAGGGCCGATTGTGGCAGTTGGTCCGTATGGCCGCTACCTCCTTCGCTGACCCGACCAGAGGTTACTCAAGCAAGCCCTTCCAAGATTCTTGTTTGCCCTGGGAGTCCAAAGACGGTAATGCGCGCAGGTAGACCGGTAAGCAATGGGGAGCAGGCAATGGAGCAGCAATAGCCAAGAGGGAGCAGTGACGGGGAGGGGGGGGGCCAAAGAAGAAAGGATAAGGTCCGAAATTGAATTGCTGAGGGTTGGTCGGAGGGGGGAGGGAGGAGCCCAGATATTTATGGGGGTACCGGAATTGAAATTGAGAAGCAGACGCTGTCTTTTCGAATATCTCTTGCCGTTTAGTCGACAAATGCCTGCCTGCCTGGGTAACAGAATCCCTGTTGTGATTTTTTATTTTTTTTCGAAGGGTAGACGACTCATCCGTCCCTGTGGGCATTAGCACCAGAAACTGAATAGGGGGGGGGGGGGGGGGTAGGATGGGGGACAAGATGGGGCGTGTGAGAGAGGAGGTGCGTGCTTGCTTGTTTCCAACATTATAATACTCGTATAGTCGTCCTTCGTGGGCATACCGGTATCTTACCAAAGCATCCCCGCGGTCCTCGATTGCCGTGATTGAAGCAAGTTGAGGCTCAAGTGCCGAGAGCGCTCAATTTCTGTCCCGGACCATTTCCAGTTAGAAGTATCGCCAACATCGTAGCGGAGGATGAGAAGAGGTGTCTTGTGCCTAAGGCAGGAGAGGAAAAGGAGGCAGCAGCGAAGAAGCAGGAGGTTGAAGCGGGAGGCAGGAGGAAGAGGTGTGGAGGAGCATGTGCTGAGTACAATACAGTACGTGCGTTCCTGGCGCCTTGGGCGTGCGTAAATTTAATCAATCGCCCTGGTTGTAATAGCAAAGACGGAACACGTTTTTCTTTCTCTTCCATACAGAACGCACCATATAACGATTGACGATTGTGCTCGAGGCACTAGCTTACGGCGGAGTAAGTGAGGGAAGCTCTGCCGTACTATGCTCTACGGCGGACACCCCACCCCTACGAATTATTACCGCATGTGAGCTCGCCCCCGATGGGTCTATCGTTTATGGGTGGAGAGAGCTATTATACCATACAGATGAACCTTTGTTGAACCACTGAATACCTACTGTACAAGCAGAGATGAAGGAGAGAGAAAGAAAGAAAGAAAGAAAGGACCTCCCCCCCCCCCGGCCGCGACTAAGAGGTGTCTGCCGTGCCTCAGCCATCCATCTGTCAGCCTCAGTCTCAGTATCAGAACCAACTTCTGCCATCACCAGAATGAACCCTTTCCCACTACACCCTTACCGTATCGCCCAGGCAAGTAACCATCAAATCATACTACAGTACAAGTAGCATCCCCCAATTTCGCCTATCACTGGGAGCCGCAGCTTGGGACTGGCGGCCGGCTGCTCGGTGCGTGACCACTTTGCCGTGCTAATAGCCAATGGTCAGAACCCCGGGCTGTACTTGTGCAGTACACACTGTGATCCACTTGTTTTCTTTTGGCTCAATTTCATTTCCCACTCTTTATCTCTTTCACTTCGATCTATCTATCAGTATTTATACCGGGACGTGTGATATGTGAAATCTAAAACCTAGATAGCGACGGGGAAAAGAAAGAAAGAAGGGAACCCCACCTGAGCCGACCACGCAGGAGAAAAGGACCTCCGAGGAAAGCGACGATTCATCGGGTTGAAGCGGATGTAAAGTAAAACAGAGGGCCAATCCAGAGATGTCAAAAAACAAAGTATCATAGGGTGGATATGGGAGGGGAGAGACCGAAAAGAAAAAGAGAAGAGAGGGCAAGGGCAAAGAAGGAGGGAGGGTTAAGGGAATTACACTGTAGGTTATGATAGTATCTGGTTCAGTGCAATGGGCACGCACGCACCCTGAGTCTAATCCTGTGATGTTCTACGGATGCACGCAACCTTACAAGTACTCTCATAATCCCTCGTTTCCTTCTCTGCTTCCGCGCGGCGCCATGCAGGCCTGAGGCAGGCAGACAACCCGCCCGGCCACTTATTAACAATAGTAAGAAACCCCAAAAGGACTGCCGACCGCATTCAGTAAACTTGGCGGCACCTGGAAAACACGGGCCACCAATAGTTTGATGGGAAAGAAGCGACCTTCATGACATATTGAAAATCTCCCCCTTGTTATGATATCATACGGTGTATACCGTACTCGAGTGCTTATATTATCACAATAAGCCTGTGAATTTCTGTCTTAGTCCAGCTTTTTGGCTCACTTCGATTGAAAATATTTTTTCCCCGCGGCGCGGAGGGCTTTCTCTGGTGGTCAAATTGCTTTGAAGGCTTGCTCTGCATATTATTATTATACGTATGCCTATGCCTATGCCCATGCCCCCCCCTTTCCCTTCCACCCTTCTCGTGGTGAAGCAAGAATTGGGTACCCACGGATGGGATAGATTACCACCCGAAACTTATACGGAATAATACTGTACCCCCCTAAACACTCAGCCCTGGATCCATCTCTCTAGTGCCGTTTTCACTTACAATCCACTTTCGTTTCACCCACTGCTGCTCCTGTCCACCCATCTCCCTTCCACCTCCCTTCCTCTTGCCATGGGTGTTGGTGGGGTTATGCTGGAATGGCAGTTGCTGAAAACACGGGACATGTTCCATTGTGAGTTAGTACTAGAGTGTTGGACGCGCGAGGGTGTACTTGTAGGGTACTGTGCGAACATATTCCTGTTATTGGATCTCTCTTACCCTTTACCAATCACCAGGACCCTGATGTTCCACTTCTTCCCGGCTTTTGGATACGGTACTGCCCTGCATAGGCAAGCTTTGCATCGCCGTTGGTACAGTAATTGTGCAGTGCAGCACAAGTACCGAGAGGTAGACTACACCTCGACAAGATCGTAAGACGAGACGGAGGTCAGCAGCACGTGAGGCAGAAAATTGGTGAGGAAAAAAGCGAAAGACCTCCATGCATCCTGTCGCAGGCATAGGCGAACAGATATGTAAGTTAGTACTCAATTGCACTTGCCGTGGATAACGGTACGTGTGGTCCGGCGGATTACAACGCTTCCGGATTCCCTCCTACTCGTGCTCGGGTACTTGTATGCCAACCTATCCCCTCAATGCCCTACGGTGCTCTGACGAGCTGGCTGCAACTACGACGAGTAAAATGTCGCTACCGGTGACTGCACATGGGGCAACATAGCGTAGCCAGGGCAGAGGGCAGGGAAGGAGGGGGGGGGGTGAAGAAATGAAAAGTGGGTGGAAAGAATGGACACACCTTGTCCATTCTTGCCCTGCCCTAAGAATCGGTACGAGTACCAGTGTTCTATAATACTCTTGCCACTTTTCTCAACGGTGAGAATCGAATATCATATGATACCTGACATATACAGTACGAGTACGGAGGTAATAGGGCTTGCTCCAAAGGAAAGTTTCCCTCCCCATTGAGCAACCCGCTCTTCGTGCCCAGCGTTCCGTGATCCCTTGACCCCCACTTACCCCCACATGCTGCTTCGAACCCCAATACCCGTATGCTCAAGAGGCTTGCGAGCCTCCTGGAGAATGAGGAAGCGTTCCATTTAGTGTGTCGTAGCCCTCTGCCTGACACCTGAGCTTGCAGAAATTGCTTCGCATGCACGTGTCGCCAGCATGTGGCGATGGATGCCGGGAATCGTCGGTTCTCATCTAATCGAATGCCTGGTACTCTATCCTATACCAGTAACCGTTACCTGACAGGCTAGCTGGAATACCGGTAGCTATAATACGGCTCGGTATATCACCGCGATTCTGTGGTCTACCCGGACGGACCGTTACTCCTACGGGCATCGCGAAGCGTCATACAGTGGGCTAGCTGCCGTTGAGAAGCATAGGACGGATTAAAGCCCGAAGAATTAGATAGTGTCAGAGGCTGAGAAAAAACATGGAGCAAAAATCTCTCATCTCATATTAATACGTACATAGGCCACTTTTTTCTTTTCTTTTCCTTTCCCCTTCATTCCATGGACGATGACATTGAAGCCCCCCTTCCCTCCTGCCGGAGGGTACTGTATCTGTGCGGTGCGGTCTGAGGTGTTCCTGTACTCGAACTGTGCTAGTATCTGAACTGACTACTTGTCTGCCTGTAATCATATTAAACTATGCTTGTCAGGCATTGAGTGCCGGAGCACAAATCTACCCATCACTCAATTTCCACGCTCTGGGCTCCCTCTCGTCTTTCGTCTCCAACCATGTGGACCTTTCGGTTACCACGCTATCACAGCCTCGAGCACTGCCGGATCGGCAGAGAAATGATCTTTGTGGGTGTTTCCTCTTACTTGCTTCCTGCCCCCCCCCCCCCCCATTTTCGCCCTCCGTTACTAGTCACCCGGTGGTTAATTAATAGCCCTACGGCAAGCACTGGCTGATTTCCCGGCCTGCAGTTGCCGCGGTAAGTCTTTTCGCTCGCTCACCCACTCAGTCGGGGCTGTACAGTACATTCACAGTACAGTCTTGTACTCATTGCTGT